CCCACAAATGTGAGAATTTTCACTGTTAAAAATTGCAATAAACATTGTATTTTCTTAGTTTAGTGTGGTTTCAGTGTATTTTGGTCATTTTCTTCATAACAAGCATAAAAAATCTCTAGTAGTGCTGATGTCTCTGCCGTTCAGTGGGCAGTAAGGACAGTGTTACGAGATGATGCCGTCCTGTAACGAAGGAAAAGGGCTGGAAAAGTGGGTTCTGTGGGAGAGAGTTTCTCCCTCTGGAGGGAACGCTGAGCTCTGGGACTCTGCGGAACGTTTACATGCAGAAAAAGCCACATAACACACTAAAGGAAAGAGAAAAGCTGGAAAAGCCCAGTAGGTCCTCTTTAAAGATCAGACGAATATGTAAACAGCGCTGACGTGTTTACACTGTAATGACTGTAACCACCAGCAGGGGGCAGCAGCGTCTCTCCCTGTAGCTCTCCTCTTGTCTGTCTCTCTATTTTCCTTTCCTCTTTCTAATGTCTTTTTCCCCACTCCCCTCTCGTTCTTTCTTTTTTCTCATCTCTCTTTTCTTTGCTTTTCTTTTTCTGTCTCTCTTTATCTCTTTCTTTTCTTTTACTTTCTTTGTTTTCTCTTCCTTTTCCTTCCTCTCCCTCTCTCACCCCCTCTTCTTTAATACCTGTCATCCTCTCTCACCTTTTTCTTTTTCTCACCCTCTTCTCTCTCTTTCTTTCTCTCCTCCCTCTCCATTTCTTTTTTCTCTGTCTCTTTCACTGTCTTCCCTTTCTTTTTTGTCACTCTCTTCTCTCTCTTCTTTCTCTATTCTCTCTTTCTCTTTTTCTTTTTCTATTTTTCTCTCTTCCTTTTTTCTTTCTCTCCCTCTTTGTTTCTTTCCCCCTCTTTATTTTCTGTCCCAATCTTTTCCCTCTCTCCCTCTTCTTATCCTGTCCCTCCTCTGTTCTCTTTCTCTCTTTTCTCCCCTTCTCTCGTTCCTCTTCTTTCTCTCATGTTGTTATGACTGTAAAGAAGATTTAACATCTGTTTTGCGCTTTTTTATTTTTATTATTTATTGTAAAAAGAGTCCAGGCTCCGCCCACAGCTGTATGGCTGTAAAGAAGATCTAATATTTATTTTGTGCTGTATTTAAATTCAAGAGAGTCCAGGCTCCGCCCACAGCTCAGCTGTTTCATGTTGTTATGACTGTAAAGAAGATCTAATATTTATTTTGCGCTGTATTTAAATTAAAGGGCGTCCAGGCTCCGCCCACAGCTCTGTCTGATCTGCAGTGGTGATGCTGTCGTTGGTCAGTCTGTACTGCAGGTGTGAAATCTCCTGATTTGCTGTTTCTCCAGGCTGAGCTGGAGCCTGATTTTACTCCTCCAGCTCCTTAAAAGCACATGACCTGCAGCGTAAAGCAGATGACCTGCAGCGTAAAGCAGATGACCTGCAGCGTAAAGCACATGACCTGCAGCGTAAAGCAGATGACCTGCACTCATAACCTGCTGTAAACGTCTTTATCTGACATTCCTCTGACGTTTATTACCTGAGTGCCTCTATAAAAACATACACAGTAACTCCAGTCTGAGGAACGTCCGTCTGGTTACTCACTGACTGACTCTCTCTCTCTGTGTGTGTGTGTGTGTGTGCGCGCAGGCTCCGTGCCCCTGGACCCCCTCCTCACCGCCAGCATAGAGGAAGGCCGAGACTTCCTGCAGGCGTTTCCAGAGAGTGCCACCTACAGCTCACTCAGAGCTATAGCAGAGTCAGTGCTGAACAGCCTGCAGGACTGACTCCACATCAGCACCGCTGAGGCCCGTTAAAGCCTGTTAAAGCCTGTTATTCACAGTTTCCTTCTCAGCCTGAATATATTCAGTCAGCCAAGACGCGGTCACTTCCTGAAGTTCACGTCTTTATTCTTACACAAAAAGACGAACACCGTTCAGGCTGCGAGCGTCCGCTGCTGTTTCGGCCGCTGCTGTTTCGGCCGCTGCTGTTTCAGCCGCTGCTGTTTCAGCCGCTGCTGTTTAGCCCTGTTTATAGATAAGAGCATGTCAGAAATCTGTGATTCGTGACTCCAGACTTATGACTCGTGAAATTTCAGCCTGAGTCAGCCAGCATATATCGGTTTCCCTCTGTCGGTCCACCCTTGGACCACCCAGATTACTGTCCTGCAAACAAGCTCTACAGTTTTTAATCTCCCCAAATAGATTTTAAAGCACAGAGGCTTTTATTTTGGAAAATAAACTTTGCAAACAACCGCTGTTTAAGCAGAGTATTAGACAAAATTCCACGGATCATCACTCATCTTTCACTCAGTCCAGTTTACTGATTTTCCTTCCTTCCTTTCTTTAAACTCTGTAAATTGGTAAATAATTCTAATCCAGCTCAGCGTCACCAACATGTCCTATAAAATCATTTTATATCAGGCCTAATCATTATTTTTTTTCCCTCAGTTATTTGTACAATTTGTGTAAGTTTATTTTCCAAAAGTCTAAAAAAAAGTCTTTGTTCTTTAAAATCTGTTTGAGGAGATTAAAAACTGTAGAGCTTGTATGCAGGACAGTAATCTGGGTGGTCCGAGGGGGGACCAGCAGTGTCAAACAGTTAGCGGGGTGCCGACCTTGTCAAACCAGCGGACCGATATACGCTGCTATCAGGGTCTGTCTGTCAAACTTAAGGGTTTTCTGCACTGAACAGCTCCTTGTTTGAACCGGACTAGTTTTAGCTACAGCTACGCGCTGCCTGCAGCTAACGGCGAAGCTAAACCAGCGTCCTCGACTCGACTCAGACTCACTGGAACTGACTTGTGAACACAACGTGAGCAAGTCTATTTGAGATTATTAAAGAACTCCACAGAGTCTGAAGGAAGTGTGTAAGGATTTAGGCACTGTGCTAATTGCTAATCAGCTTCCATTACTTGTGAGCTGCGTTAGCCTCGTAGCTCCGGTGCTAAAACAGAAAACTAAAGAAATTTCAGACACCAAGCTTGGCTGATTGACCGCGTGTGGGGTGAGGTGGGAAACTGTGTGAATGTGGGTTTAACGGTCACTTTAACGGTCCAAACCAGTCGCTCTTATCTTTGCTCCTGGAGGTTTAACGCTGCTGGTTCTGCTACGTCAGCTACCCAGCAGCCCGAGCGGGAGCAGCAGATGAGTGAGGAGTGCTGAGGAGTGAGGAGTGCTGAGGAGCGCTGGGGAGTGAGGAGTGCTGAGGAGTGCTGAGGAGTGAGGAGTGCTGCGGTGAAGGGTGTCAACTGACTGTTTTTGGAAAGAGAAATGAAACTCCAAACATCAGAACAGCTTCTTTCAATCACACAGTTTTTTCTAAAGGGGGATTTTCTACTGAGCTGAGAAATAAAGAAAGTCATTCATTGTGGTTTGGTGTGAAATGGTTCAGTTGTCTTATCAGTGGTGGCGCTAGGAGCCAGACGTCTACATAAAATGGCTATATCTGTGTTGTAGTCATGGTGACCCCTGGTTCCTGTCACCACCACTGTAAAGACATCTGAACCATTTCACACCAAACCACTCTGAATCTCTCTGATTACATCTTAACTGTTGAATTACGCACATTTTGGACGATGGACTTGCCCCTTTCAGTTCTGATCACTTCATATTCGGTTTATATATTAAACAGACCAAACATAAAGGGCTGTTTTCTTCACAGCTTGTTCCTGTGATCTTTCCTGAAGGTGCATGTTTGGTGTCTGAAGTTCACTTCTCTGGTTTTAGCACTGGAGCTGAATATACACTGTGAAAACAATGCAGCTTTTCAAGTAACATTATCTTAAATATAATCAATAAATCTAATACAGATCGTTTTAAGCTTAATTTCTGATAATAACCTTATTAGTAGGCATTTTTTACTTGTTGTAATTGTATTAAGTAAAGTTATCTCACTATATTGGCAGATAATTGTGCTTGTTGTAAGAAATGTGCTTGAAACCAGCAACAGTATCTGCCACTATAGTCAGATAAATTTACATAATAAAATTACTTAAAACAAGTAAAAAAATACGATAATCTTATAATAAGTGCTTAAAATGGGAAATTTTAGATAAATCGACTAGATTTAAGATCATTTCACTTGACAAGATACTATTTTTTGCAGTGTAGTGGTTGCTCTGTTATTCCAGGTGGTTGCTAGAGTGTTCCAGGTGGTTGCAAAGATTTTCCATGTGGTTGCTTGGGGGGTTGCCAGGTCATTGGTTAATAGGGTGTTGCTAGTGCACTTCTATCACCGTGATATAAGCTGGATGGCCAAATTTTCCCCCACATTCATTAGTATGGTAAAGAAATTATGATTTAACGATCACTGTGTGAAAACTGTTTATGTCCGATCAATACGCTATACACAAGCACATCATTCCTGATCAGATTGAAAAGTGCCGGACTCGGATGGTGTCGATATCTCAAAAAAAGATGTGTCCCTAGCGTTTATAGATATTACACTAAACGTTAGGGTTACAATTTATTTATATTTTAAAATTAAACCATAAGTTATTTTAACAGTTACACCTGTTGGGCCTCAATTTAGCAATATTGGTTTTTAAATCAATCATCTAGAATTCCAAGCACCACAGAAGAGCTCGTCCTCACACTCACAATAATCTATACATGACTATGGAATATATAATTTAAATGAAATAAAGAAAACAAATGCCAAATAAATATTATAAAATATATAATAAAAGTTGTCCCCAGGAGTTGTGTGACTGAAAAAAATCTCATTTTGAAATAAAAGTCACACTGATGACATCACTTGACTTCCTTTTACCTGTTTTCTGAGGATCTATGAAGAAAAGCTCATGGTGAGTCCACTGAGTCTTTCAGTTATCAGAGATTTTCTCATTTAGCTCATGATTTCATATGAAGCTTTTAGCTGAAGTCACTGGTGTGACCGACTTTATTCTGAGGTAACTGTGAAAAAACAGAACACAAATGGATTAAATTCCATATTTTAGTGGATATTCCATGATTGACTACATGTGGTTTGATGCTCTGTAGAAGCCAGTCTGTAAAATTGTTCATTAAAACGTCTCTGGTGTTCCTTTATTATGTGTGACACCAATGAGGATCAGTAACACCAGTGACTCCTATAGAGAGATAGAAAAGGACGTTTCTGTAGAATGACCCGGCTACATTAGCCTAGTAAAATTAAAGAATGCCGCCAAATGTGTCGTGACTGCTCAGCTACATTTGGGTGGGATTTTTGGTTGAACTGCTGCTTTATTGTCACACTGAGTGGATCTGTGTGACGTTAAACGTCCTACTGGACCTGTTTGTAATAGGACCACAATAAAAACTCCACTAGAGTCAGTTAATCTGGTTTGTTTGAGGGAATCTCCATCACCGGCTGACGCCACCTAACGTACATACAGAAATACCTGAACACAGACAGACAGAGAGACAGTAAATTGGAGGCGAGTCTGGAAATTTGAGGCGTGCGAGCCGAGAGAGGCGCACGCGGCTTTAATGCAATCAAACATCACGTACAGGAGAAACACACAGATACACGCAAACACACACACACACCAAGCCAGGCCGTTTCCATCGAGCGGTTTACACACAGGTACCAGCAGGGGGCGCCATGCCGTTAACACCCACCCCACAGACCCCAATACGTTATCTGTAGATTTATATACTTATATATTATTTACCAGAGAGGGGATTCGAAAAAGCTCCATGTACACATTTCATTAACAATTTCAATGTTCTTATAAATAAAATCAATGGAAAACGAAAACAAACAACAATAACAAAAAAATAAAACAATTAACAAAAGCTATTCCATTCACGATCTGAGATACAGGTACATATTTCCACTTATAAACACTTCAGTGTGAAAGTTCATTACAAAATAATTCTCAAAATCAGCATGACGGGGTGAGAGACATCAGCCAGGCACAGAGAGAGAGAGAGGGGGGGGGTGGGGGGAGTGATGGGCAAACTGATGGAGTGATGGAGCAGAGAGAAAGACGAGTTCTTCTTTAACAGTTAGAGGACAGACAGGCTCAAAACACTGCGCTTAGGTTTTTTCTTACAGGAAGTTGGAGATGAATCTGACACTGTACACGAGCTCCTTCTCTTCATCATACTCATCATCACTGTCGCCAGAAAACTTCGTAAACACGTTTATTCCGTTCTTTTATCCGTTTTTTCCCCACACTGTGTGAAAACAACAGCTGCCCTTTACATTTTCACGTTTAATGATGAACAGAAATGTGGTTTTATTTAAACAGTTCACAGAAAAATGGACTTAAAGCTGTTTTACTATGTTACAAGTGGTTTTTCCCCCATTTTGGAGATTTCTAGCCGATTTTATTCCTTTTACTCTGTGATGTAAACATTTTTAAACCTTTTTAAAACAGCTGCCCTTTTTTTAACGATGTGTTTTCACTTAATGGCAAATAGAAAAAAATAGAAATGTGTAGCTTTATTTTTACGGGAGGATAACGGGAATCGAACTCACGACCTCCTGATGGTGGAGTCAGCGCTCAGACGCTCCACTGATGTTTTTCACACAGTTTGGAAACAGCAGCTGCCTTTGTTAACATTTAATAACAAATAAACCAAAAGAAACTAGTTTTATTATTTTCGCAATTTATAGTGTCGTTTAATAAAAATAGAAAATTTCTTACGTCTTAAATCCTTTTTTTCTTTACTAGATGTGATATTTTCTTATGACAGGGATGATTTTCCATCCAATTTTTTTTCTCCACAATTCATTCGTGTCCAGTTCCGCCTGTTTCTAGTTTACATGATGCTACCCAGCTGGCAGGACGAGGTCCAGCATGTTCCACGTGAAGCTCCGCCACATCATCCAGCTCAACACGCTTGGAGGAGAACACTAACTGCTAATCCTACGTCAGCTAACAGACGCAGTGTTGTCTAGCATCACACTGAGTGATGGGGGGAGAGGGAGGACCACCCTACCGAGTCAGAGGGAGGACAGTTAAGATCTCTGACTCCTGTTTATGCTGCGTTCACATTTGCGTTAAAAACGTCATTTTGCACCTCATAGCGCTCATCACCTAACAGTGAAGCTAGAGATGTTGCCATGGTGACCAAGTTATCGATGACCATGGCTGATTATCAGAGGAGAGCTGTATCAGTGCAGGTTGTTGATTTAAGTTGGAGAAAGGCAGGTGGCGCTCTGTTCTCTTGTTTTTGTTGTATAATACTGAGCTTGTCTGGAATTCAGTAAGATGTTTGGCGTCCACGGCTACCAAAAAAAATCAATGTCCGGTTTATTCCGCCGCTGCGGTCGACGGCAGACGTTGGGAATATTTAACTCCTGACTGAAGGCGCTGGCGGTGGTAGAATTTTCTGTTGCGGCTCCATTGAAACCAACCGAATATGTAGTTTGCTGACGCCGCCAACCGCAAACGTGAACGCAGCATTACGGATGGCTGTGGCATCACCGGGAATCGAACTCACCACTTCCCGATGACAGATTCAGCACTGAGACAGATGGATTTACTCTACTGTTGACGTCCTAAGAAAACATCGTTAATGATCAGCGAACCATGACGAAGTGTAAAAAGTGAACAGCTGTGTTTTTTAAGTGTTGTTTTTCCCTTTAAAGTTACCGTTTTGGAGATACGAGGTTTTCTAACGACAGTGATGATTTCTATCCCGAATCTCTTCACTCTTTTCTTATTTTATCTCCGTTGTCCCCACCCCCCCCCACACACACTTCCCGGTTCTGCAGTGCATGCCGGGAGCTGTAGTTTATTTGGTGGAGAGGATAAGGGCCACGATGAGGCCGTAAAGCCCCAGAACCTCAGCAAAGATCAGGATGAGGATCATCCCGACGAAGAGTCGCGGCTGCTGGGCGGTCCCGCGGACCCCTGCATCGCCCACGATCCCGATCGCGAAACCCGCCGCTAATCCGCTCAGACCCACGCTGAGTCCAGCTCCGAGTTGGAGGAAACTCCTACAGAGAGAGAGAGAGAGAGAGAGAGAGAGACTTTTGGTTTCATATACCAAAAACATCATAATTCATGATTAAGTCATAATCATGAGTAATAATTAATGTTTACATAATCTAGGCTGAGTAGGCGGGGCTAAACTGCTACCGGCTGAATGGGCAGGGCTAAACTGCTGAGGCCTGAACTGGTGGGAGTATCTTAAGCGACCTAAGCCATGAATTCAGAAGCTGTTTTGCAGGTCAGTTTCCATCTATGGACAGAATGGACAGGAGACTGAACAGTACATATTACACTACGTCAAACTCTGATTTCATAAAGGGAAGATTTCATTTTTCCACGTTTAAAAATGAACATCACCGCTTGTGTCCGGAGTGCTGGCTGTAGTGTAGGTGTGGTCTGTACTCACTTGTACAGAGTGACTGTGGGCGAGATGCTGTTGGCGATCAGCACTGCCACCACCAGCCCGTAGATGGCGATAATACCAGCCATGACCACCGGGATGATGGACTTCATGATCAGCTCGGGGACGCATTACAGACATGGCGGCGATGCCTGTGCCGCTCTTCGCCGTGCCGTACGCCGCACCCAGAGCTACAGAGAGAGAGAGAGAGAGAGAGAGAGAGAGAGACTTCAGTATACAGTGCACACACTACAGACAGGCCTGAGTGAACAAACACCATCAAATAATTATCAAAGCCAAAGACTATAAAGTGCATCTGAGGTACTTTTGCTACATTACTATCACTGTTTTAATCTGGTGTCAGCAAAAAAGGCTTGAACTTTGAACAGCTTCTACTTCAGTCCACTAGATGGCGCTGTGCGTCTTTTACTCTATATGGGAAGAGAGAAGAAGTCTAACCATTCACTCACTACAGCACAAACCAGGAGTTAGCTGAGTGAGCTAGCTTTAGCTATTTTCAGTTAGCAGCAGGATTTAGTGATGCTGGGGCTCTGGGCCAGGAATAGCGCCCCCTGGATGCACACTGTTAAATTAGTGGGCTCCTGAGTGGCGCAAACATCTACACTGCAAAAAAATGTCTAGAAATAATTAAATTATCCTAAATCGAGTCAAAATATGTAATATTTCTCACTCTGAGATGGTTGGAAGAATATTAGATTATTTAACTACAATTTTTGTTAGTTTTTGAAGTCAATATATTGGCAGATATACTGTATTTTGATTGTTTTAAGAAATAATGCTATATCTGCCAAAACAGTGAGACAGTCAGGTACAGAGTGATGTAGAATGAGGAGTGTAAGTGATGAGGAGTGAGATTGTAATGTATGTAGTGATGTAACGTCAGTAAGGTAATGTAATCACATTCAATCTGAGAGCAGTACTGAGTGAGTTGTAATGGATTACTGTTCTGGGTAGTGACTCCAGCACTGCCGCTCTCTACACTAACATTAGCACTAGTGTTCTGTACTGCTGAGCCTGAGCTGCTCTCTGTTCTCACTGAAAAGATGATGTTAACTTTCGTAGCGTAGCAACAAACCTTTTGCTTTCCTGCCTCTGTTTGCACTTCTTTGCTACTCTTGGATGACTTAAAAATGTCCTCTCCATTAAGCTGGTTACACCTGACTTTTACCCCGATTTTAGCCCTGATTCTTAGTCTGAGTCTGAGTTGGTCGGCTCTAGTCTGCAGATTCCTGGGTCAGTCTGAGTCGACATTTGGAGAGAGAGTCGAGTCGAGTCGTGTTTGAGGGGCGCAGACTCAGATTTACAGCCTCCCGATCGCGTTTCAGACCAGTCAGAGTTTATCAAGCATGTTTGGTTTTTTTTGACCCGACTCCGAGTGAAATCTAGTGTAAACTGGTCAACAACTCAGTCTGAACAGATTCCTGCAACAACCAATGAAAACTGAGAGCACAAAAGAGGAAAATACAGACAGTAAACAAAGAGAAAAAGAAAAAAAAGCTTTTTACTGAGCTGAGTTTAAGGCACAATCGAGTTTATCTGCATTTAAAACTCTAAAAATACCAACTGATCACATTTTTAAATCCATGATCCACTTAAACATGTTTACCTGCTGCTTCTTTACTTTTTCAGCGCAAACGGCAGAGAAAACAGCAGCAGCAGCCGCTACACGTTTGTTTATCTGCGTCTCCTAGTAACAGAGCGCAAGAGTTCGCATGGATTTGCGTGAGTTCAGTGAGAGTTCAGTGAAAGTTCAGTGAGCTCCGTTTGGTTCAGCAGCAGCTGCAAAGTTGAGTAGTGTGTGATCCCTAATCGTTTAGTGTGGATCCCCAATATTTCAGTCACCCCAAAAAATCTGCAGAAACCAGTCTGATGGTGTGAGACGCCCAGTCTGTTATAATCTGTTCAGACTTTAAAGGTCGTGTACTGAACCCAAAGCTTAGTGTAGATCATCACTGAACTGCCCTGTTCACATCAGTCTATCTTGTGTGGTCACCTAACACAGGGAATAGTCCATTAACCTCAACATGTACACAAACCGTGTATCTATCATGTACGTTCATGGGCCCCGTAGCTCATGAGGGCCCTGGATGGCTGCCTACTGTTGCCTCGTGCTAAGTCCACCCTCGGGTGTGTACAGGAAGAGTGTGTGTGTGTAACTGGTTTCAGTTCTCTGGGAAAACACACCAGTTCCTCCAGAAACTAACGTTCCACTCACTCCACCGTTACACACCCTCAAAATTCACTTATTACAAAACAGCACAGACGCATTAAAATGTCTCCAGCTCTCCGCAATCAGATTCCATTAGCATTTTAGCAGCTAAAGAACACAGACTGACCCTTTATCTGAGCAGTCAGTGTGATTTTACCAGTAAAGCTCTATAGAACATCAGAATAAATACAAATAAACAGAAGTACATGGTATATAAATGGAGCATTTCACTGAAAGAGTTCAAACTGTGGTCCTAAAACTACTTAAAGACAACAAAGTATTCAGATCTTAGATATGAACAAGGATTATGTTCTGATCCATTTAAACCCAGACCATTAATAGAGACAGTAATAAGCTAAATACATACAAAATCATCATTTACAGGGTACCTTCTATTGGGAGGGGTCTGTCCCAAACCGTAACCACCAAATTTAATTTAATTTAGATTTATCATGAGTTTTTAATTTTTATATGTAAAACTTTATTCAAAGAAATGCTGTCCCACGTTTTCATGTCACAGAAACACAGAGTTTTCGTCTGTGGGTGGAGTCTTGTCTTAGCCACGCCCCTGCATTTCAGAGCAGGAAGTGAGGCTGCATCCCTGTCCCTCAGGGCCACATGTTGAGCAGTTAGATCCCATTGTTTTGAAGTAAATGAGTCCCAAAGTCTGAAAATCAGTGTGGAACATTAAGAATCGTCATATTTTCTGCAGTTCAGCACTTTTTAGTGTTTTAATGTAAAATATGATGATTTTCTGTGTGAACAGCTGTTCAGAGCAGTGTTTGCTGAGTTTTTGAGCTCAAAATGAGCTAAAATTTTCACTGAAACAGTCACTACTGACACATTTGGTACAGCTTGGGTAGTTATGATTGTTTAGGTAGAGACTAAATGGAATATTTAATAATTAGTTTTAATAAAACAATCATAATTAAGGTTTAGAGTCTCTCAGAGCATAATGGTTTTAGTCTAAAGTCTAAGATCAGTTAAAAGTCCCCAATGTGTTTCAGTTCTGACTCTAAACGAAAGTGTTAGTGTCAGTAGAACCGAGGTTTGGTTTCTCTCCAGCTTTCACACAGATTATAACAAAAGCAGCACCTGATTAATTTAACAAAGTGCTGATTAGATAAACTGTGTGTCTGATTACAACTACAGAAACACTGGACTTCTATGGGGGCAAGTTTGGAAACGGCTGAACCAACATGATTGAAAGATGGTTCTTCAAGGGTCCTTTTGTAAAGACAGTGGTTCTATATAGAACCATGAACACTCAAAGAACCATCTGCATGATTAAATGGTTCTCTGCATGGTGAAATGGCTCTTCAGACTGATGGAGAATGTGTTGCGTATGTTTCTATACAGCACTAAAAATTGGACGCCAAGCTTGTAACAATAACAGAATTAACTGGATCACTAAGCATTCTAATCAGAACACTTCGCATTCTAGCTAGAACACTGCATTCTAATTCGATCACTAAGCATTTTAGCTAGAACACTACACATTATAATTGGAGCACTATACACTAGCTAGAACACAACATTCTAATTGGATCACTAAACATTATAGCTAGAACACTAAGTATGCTAATTGAAGCTCAAAACATTCTAGCTAGAACACATTAGCATACACTCTTAAAAAAGAGGGTCCTTCGAGGTCTTTAGTAAAGATGTTGGTTCTATATAGAACATTTAACACTGAAAGAACCATTTGTGTGCTTAAATGGTTCTTTGCATGGAGAAACTGTTCTTCAGATTGATAGAGAACGTGGTGTAGCTTGTAACAATAGCAGAACCCTTGTTGGTGCTGTATAGAACCATCTACAGCACATCTTCAATCTGAAGAATGATTTCTCCATGCAAAGGGTTCTTTGAGTGTTCATCATTCTATACAGAACCATTATCTTTACTGAAGAACCCTTGAAGAACCATCTTTAAGACTGTACATAAAATCATTATTTACTGTATTAATGTTCTTTGTATTTATTCCAAATAAACACTGACTGCCCACATCAACACCTTTCAGTCTAATTTTCTCAGGTGTCTAAAACTTTTACACAGTAGTGCAAACGAAACAGAACGTGAACAAAAGACCATTTTAATACGACTCAAATGTAAATTATTTTGCTCATTTTAAACTGTTTATGTAATTAAAACTGAGACCTAAATCTCCAAATATTGATTCTCGCTGTTTTAATCAGGGATCCACCGATCGGGAACCGTGGGCCGATACCGACATCCAGCACTGTTCACCAGCGTATCTGACGATGCTGATCCATAAACACTTATACAGTGTAGAACCCTGGACCAGACCGGTCAGGATCAGAATTAGAGAAATATGACTGTGTGGATTAATATAAATATATAAATATATCTGTGTGGATTCCTGTTAATAATGACGGTCACACCAATAAAACTTCCTGAATTAAATTACTGAATTACTCAAAGAACACAGATAAACAAATATATATATAAATATAAATATATACAAATATACACACTGATCAGGCATAACATTCTGACCACCTCCTTGTTTCTGCGCTCATTGTCCATTTTATCAGCTCCACTTACTATATAGGTGCACTTTGTAGTTCTACAGTTACAGACTGTAGTCCATCTGTTTCTCTGATACTTTGTTAGCCCCCTTTTACCCTGTTCTTCAGTGGTCAGGACCCCCATGGACCCTCACAGAGCAGGTACTATTTGGGTGGTGGATCATTCTCAGCACTGCAGTAACACTGACGTGGTGGTGGTGTGTTAGTGTGTGTTGTGCTGGTCTGAGTGGATCAGACACAGCAGAGCTGCTGGAGGGGGGCTAACAAAGTATCAGAGAAACAGATGGACTACAGTCTGTAACTGTAGAACTACAAAGTGCACCTATGTAGTAAGTGGAGCTGATAAAATGGATAAAATGAGTGTAAAAACAATTTTTCAGTTTTTCGATTTTCAGTTTTCGGCATAATTTGA